CCTCCCGCCCCGCTCCCGGCCGGCCCTGCCTTCCCCGGGCACTCCGTGGCATCCCCTCCCTCGACACCAACCCTCGGTGGGTGTTTGCCCTTGTACCGCTGTTATTTTGCAGAATGGTCGATAGATGTTATTATAACGTATGTGGTATCTAATCCCCCGTGGTAAGGGGGGTTGGAATGAGACGGTCTGCAAAGGTTTCCTCCCATACACCCCAAGCGTTCCATGGTGGTTTTACTCGGTGGGACTAATTGGGGTTTTGTGCTTCCCTGTTAGGTGGCAATCTCTAACCTCCTCCCCTGGACAGTATGGTGCATGCTGGTTTGGAAGCTGTGGAACATCTACTCCCAACCTCAGACAGCCCCCAGGAATAGCAGCAGTAGCCAAAGGTTGGTATGGAGCAAGTGTGGGATGTGTGTCCTGTGCTGCCTCTGCCCAGCTATGAGGCTTATCCACAGCAGAAGGCCCTGGAGTTCCATGTCCCACACCAGGTTTTTTGGGGTGGTCTGGTTCCCTGGCCCCTGGAGAAGTGTGTTGTGGTGAGGCTGGGTTTGCATGTTGAAACACATTTTCTATGCCATGAGTTATTTTTATCAGCTCACTTTATTTACCTCTTCTACTGCCTTGCAACTCCCAACCTCCATGTTTCCATTAGGCTTCAACTTGAGTTCTAAGTCCTTGAGCTCAAGAAGGGTGGAGTAAGGATGGAGGTCTTTATTTCCAGCTTTCCTCACAAACTAGTTTAGCCTATCAGTGCCTGAAGGGCCTGCAAGGGAGCTAGAGAGGGACTCCTTTAGGAGCTGCAGTGACAGGTCAAGGGTTAACAGGTTCAAATTGAAAGAGGGGAAGTTTAGGCTAGATATTAGGAAAAAGTTTTCCCTGTGAGGGTGGTGAGACACTGGCACAGGTTGCCCAGGGAGGCTGTGGCCGCCCCAGCTCTGGCAGTGTTCACAGCCAGGTTGAATGAAGCCTTGAGCAACCTGCTCTGGTGAGAGGTATCCCTGCTCAGGGCAGTGGGAGTTGAGACTAGATTATCTCTAAGGTCCATTTCACCCCTAAAATTCCGTGATTCTAGTTTACAAAATGTCCTTTAATATCTTTTTTTCCTGTTTGTTATCTGAGAACAGAACTAAACAGTGTTAAGTCAAAGCTTTAAATTTGTGTCTTTAAAAATCAGTTCCATGGGTAAGATACTGACTTGGTCTTCTCTAGAATCTGGGTCAAATTTTGCTTTATTTTGAGAAATTGTAGCTTCACATGTGATGAGTTTAAGATGCAATTTAGTGGAGAAAACACTTGAGTGGAGACTTCTGCTCTCATGACAGCAAAGAGCATAAATTGGCCTTTTATGGGACTCAAAGATATAAATGAAGGCTTCTGAAAATACAAGGTTTCTGCCAAGAACAGTATGTTTTGGGATGCTGCAGATACCTGGGGTTTATTTTGTCTCGTATTATAAGACATTGCTGCACCTGAAGATGCAGAGAGGTGTTCCAGAGTGGGAACAGGAGAGTCAAGAGCGATTGGCAAGCTCTTTTTTCTCTCTATAAAACCTGAGTGTTCCATGTTACGGATGAAGTGTCTTCCTTGCGGAAGGGTTTGTGTGCCAGAAACTTTGGGAGCTGCGTGGTGCCTTGCTCTCTCCCAGCTGGCACAAGTTTTCCCACCCAAAGGAAGGGGAAGTTTCAGGTCCATGCCTTTGCCAACTGCCGCGATCTGTGATGTTTCCAAAGTCCTTGTCGAGTGCTGGGGATGTGGAGCGTGTGGTGGATAATCTTCTGGGGTTCCAAGGACTTCACACCCAGCTGCACCTCCTTGAGGGATGTGATTGAGTGCCTGCACAGCCCTCTGTGGGCACTCACATTTGTGCTTTAATTTAAGAAGGAGTTTAAGCTCCACCACAGCAGCCACTCATGCACCAAGTAAGTCTTTGCAGAGTGGTTTGCTGTAGGTTAACTGAAGCAGCACCTCCCAGGCTTGTCTGGAGACACAGCTGAGCTGAAGCTCAAACACCACTGTGTCCTTATGCTCCATGCTGAACTGATCTCTCCTGGCCCAGGAGTTGTTCCCCTTCCAGCAGCCTGGCCAGAAAGGTTGAGCTTTTTTGGTTTGAATGTGACGCTTGATGAACTTTTAAACCCAACTGTGAATAACAACAGCAGCCTTAAATCAGGGGCACTTGGGGGAGGTGTCAGATGGCTCGTCTCCCTCCCTCCACCTTGTTCTGTGGTCCTCCTCTCTGCCTGCCCCTCTTCTCTCAGTGCTTCCCCCTTCTCCTGGACTCCTGCCACCCTCTCCGTGTCCCTCGCTTGCCGCTGGCTTTGGCAGCAAAGTTGCAGCCCAAGTCAAGTGAGCGTGGCAGGACATACCTTGCCCGTGGGTGCTCCTTGCCAAGCTGGAACTGGTGCCCTGCTAGTTCTGTTGGCACTCTGAGGTTTGGTTTTTTCCCCTCCCCTACATGCAGCATGCATCAGTTCACATAAATTTTGGGGGTTAAATGGATCGTATATTTAGATGATGGCTTTAGTAAATATTTTGGAATTCCATATTGCACCAACTTGATAATATTTTAACAGAGGAAGACCAATATCCCTGACAGCAGCAAACACAAATGTTCGAGTAATTCTGTGCTGTCAGTTTTCATTACGCATCTTCTCAGAGCTTGATCATTGCTGTCATAGGTCCCTGTGGTGAGTCTGAGTCCCCACTTCCCTTCTGGAGAGCTCAGAAGGAGGGAGCTGGCTGGGAGCACCATTCCTTGTGATGTTTTGGATACAGACCCTTATTTTGTCTTTGGGCACTTTTGCCTTGTGTGGTTAGCTAATTAAGGCTTGCCCCTGTTTCTAGTAGCCCTGCTTGGAACTGCTCTATTGACATATTTACTGAAGTAAAACTGCTCAGAGTAGGCAGTCCTCTCACTTTTCAGGCCTCTTTCTCTTGGGCCACCTGTTTACCCCTTCCTTTCCTCCTTCAAGGAGGACTGAGTTCTTCGGGTATGACAGTCTGTTGAGAAATCAGCAGCAGTTGCTGCCTATTAGCTCTGGAACACCCCAAGCAAAAGACAAAATCCTGTGCTAATGCACTTCAGAATGTTTTCTGTTGATGTTCCTGAGAACAGCTGGTTTTGGAGATGCACCTGACAGGTTGAAAAGATGTTCCTGCATGAGCTTGGTGTTGTTTCAGAGGTCATGCTTGCAGCAGCTCTGTTCTGGGGGCCCCTGGGAGAAGGGAGTGCTGTGTCCCACCATCCTGCTTGGAGCCTCAGGGGCAGCTCTGCCCGGAGCCAGGGCTTTGGGCAGCTGTGGGTGGACAGAAGATGTTGGTGCAAATGAGTCTTACAGCGTTTGTCCCTGGGGAAAATGTACCTGACAAAATGTTTTTTATGCTTTTATTTGTAGCTTTCATCATGGGGGACATGAAAACCCCTGACTTTGATGACCTCTTGGCTGCTTTTGACATCCCTGATCCAACTAGCCTCGATGCCAAGGAGACCATCCCCTCAGCTGGGGAGGAGAGTGAGAACCACCTGAAGTCGTCGGGAATCTGCATCGATGAGAACGTGTCCTTATCCCACTCTTTGCCTCCCTCTGATGCTCCTGTGGTGAGTGTGATAGTGAAGAACACGAGTCGCCAGGAGTCCTTTGAGGCAGACAAGGAGGGGAATCACCTCGGGACGGGTCTGCTGCACAACGGGTTTCGTGGCTCTGATCTCCCAGCAGAGGCTCACGCTCTTGTCCATAATTATGGCAAGTTTGAGTCAACTTTTATTAACGGTGACAGCTCGAGAGGTTACTCGGATAAACTGGACCAGGCCAAGTCGGAGCCTTTGCCAACATTTAGTCAGTTTAGTCCCATTTCCAGTCCTGAACCAGAGGATGCGTTCAAGGAGAACAGTATTGGAGATAAACCCAAACATGCCCAAACTCCCTATTTTCCACCGCCTTCCATGTATATACCGACAGGAGCTTCAGTCCTAGATCATCTTAGGAAGGTGCCAGAGCCCGAATTAAGTATGTTTGATCAGTACTGTAAAAAGGAACAGAAGATGGAAGTCCACTGCCAGCCAGATAACAGGCTGGAAATGAGCAGGAGAGAGCACGACAAAGCAGCAGAGAGGTTTGTGGAGTCAAGCAAGGACTTGGTAGATACCAACAGCTTTCTTGGAGAAGGCTTGGTGTTTGGAGACCTCCCTCACAATAATTTAGGAGACAGTAAGGGGTCTGTGCCCGAGCTGAACATGTCTTCATCAGTCCCACCCCGGCAGAGGTTAAAGCCAACTCATTCCAAGTTGTCATCCTGCGTGGCAGCGTTAGTAGCTCTTCAGGCCAAAAAGGTTGCGTGTATTCCAAAAGGCGATCAGCCAAATCTTACCAAGGAGCCTGGTCCTTTCAAAGATGGGACAAAGGGAAGTCCAAAAATGCCCAAGTCGCCAAAGAGTCCCCGAAGCCCCTTGGAGGTGGTGAGGAAGGCCAGCAAGCAGCCCGAGAGTCCTCGGAGCGTGTGCAGCGACAGCAGCGGGAAAGGCTCTCCTTCCATGGCAGCTGGTTCTCCACCAGCTATTCCCAAAGTTAGAATAAAGACTATCAAGACATCCTCTGGTGAAATTAAAAGGACTGTAACTAGAATTTTGCCAGAAAACGACGAGTTGGGTAAATCTTCAGAAGAATCTCCTGCAGAATCCTCCTCGGCCGAAGAGTTTATGAAATCTTTCCCATCCCCTGACACCAGTGCAGTGATGGAAAGTGAGGCTGGCAGGAATTCTACCAAACCTGGGGCTGCTGTGGCTATCCAGCTGTCAAACATCACGAGTCCATACTTGGACAGTATGAAAATGGATATTGCAAACAGCACGTGCACCGTGTCCTTGTCTCCCCTGCCGAACTGCGGCGGCGGTGCCATCAAGGTGGGCGTCAAGAGGCAGCAGCAGGGCACGGTGGCACCGCCATCGGGCACGGCCTCCTCCAGCCTCCTTCCCAAAGCTGTGCACCTGGCAAACCTCAACCTGGTCCCGCACAGTGTCGCCGCTTCTGTCACGGCCAAGTCCTCGGCACAGCGGCGAAACCAGCCCCAGGTGACACAGATGTCTGTGCCACTGGTGCACCAAGTGAAGAAAGCTGCTCCCGTCGTCATGGAGGCGTTCAATAAAGTGCTGCACAGTGCCAACCCAGTGCCCATATACACCCCCAACCTCAGCCCCCCTCCTGACGCCAGTATTAACTTACCTGCCTCTGGGTATTGCTGCCTGGAATGTGGGGACTCGTTTGCCTTAGAGAAAAGCCTGACTCAACACTATAGTAGGCGAAGTGTTCACATTGAAGTCATGTGCACTCAGTGTTCAGCTATGCTCCTTTTCTTTAATAAGTGTAGCTTGCTTAAACATGCACGAGACCACAAGAGCAAAGGGTTTATCATGCAGTGTTCTCAGCTGCTCATGAAACCGATTTCTGCAGACCAAATGTTTTCACCCTCTCCTACAAGCTCCTCAGCCTCGCCGGCTCCTCAGACTTTGCACTCCTCCTCTCCTCCACGTAAGTCCAGCGCTGCTTCAGGAGGTGGCGTGGGGATTTCTGCAAACACTCAGCCAGCCATGCCTCTCTACATGGACCCACAGAGGCTAATCCGTCATGGGCTTAAGTGTTTGGAGTGTAACAAGCAGGAGCAGGATTACCTTTCTTTAGCAGCTCATTACCAGAGAACCTCAGAAGATAATGAGAGACTGGTAAGTCATCATTTTAATGTTATTAGTTAAATCTCTTGGTGTTTAAAGAGATTGTCCTCAAGGGGGTAAAAATAGGCATGTGGGGGCAAATGAGTCGCTTTGCCTGAAGAAGTGCTTCTGGGGAGAATTTGGGTTGCACATGAGCCCTGATGTGTGTGCATGAAGAGATGTTTAGTGTTGCTTGTCCTCTTCCTACCCTTGGCCAGTAAAAAGAGCATAGTAAGAAGCCTGTGGAGATCCTTGAGTATCAAAGGAAGGTGCTGGAGATCAAAGATGGCTTGGGTGAGGTGTGCAGGAGTGTGCCGTAGGGGTGGATCCCCTACGGCACACCTGGAACAGGTTTTTGTGCTCTAAGCATGGCTGGAGGAGATGTGACACAATTTAATGTTGCCTTTCCTGGAACTTGTGCCAGAACCTTCCGTGTCATGCTTTGCACATCAGGTGCTGTGTTACTGTTAGCATGGTCAGGTGTGTTTTGGGACAGGCCTGGGTTGGGCTGGTTTTGCCCTTTGTGTGGCAGAGGGAGGAGTGGGTGCAAGATTTCCACAGGAGAGCTCAAGAGCCTTGTTAGTGGCTTCCTGCCTTGCTCCTGTACTGCCCTGCTCAGGCCTCCACCAGCTCTGTGGACCTCTCTTGAAGGTACAGACAGAGGGTTGGAATCCTCTTTGAAACTCCAGCTTAGGTGTCTCCTGATGATGAAGAGAACAACTTCCTTGTGCACCAAGCCCATATGCTTTGTTTATGGATTTATTTTGGAAGATACGCTCAATCCTGTTTAAGTATTAACCAACCTGAACTCATACAGGAGGAGGAATCATTTCTCCTTATCTCTTTGGATAATGTGGAAGCTTCCCAGGTCGGTGTGGCTGCCAGCAGAGCTGGCAGGCTCCCAGTGCAAGGGCTCCACAAACAAGGCCTTCATGCCTGCGTTTGTGGAGATGACCATGACTCTGCCATGGCTGCTGTAGCCCCTGCATGCTCCAGAGCCTCCCAGTGCTCCTTGAATGGCTTGCAGGAGCATTGAGGTTGCTGTGGTCCCATTTAGGTGCTTTGTTATCTTCCTCTTAAATTCATCAGCCACAAAGAAAATAGATTAATGCTGAATGGTTTCGCCCTCGTTCGTGTCGGCGAGGCCACGTAATCAGGTTCCTCACCCGAGGCTGCCAGAGAGCACTGTGCTCTGTCAACACCCAAACTTATTTTTCAACAGGACTGCATTTTTAGGGAATGTCTGCAGTCTGGCATTAAAACCTCCAGGTGAAGGGATCCAGGGAGCGCTCCAAAGTGAGCCAAAATGTTAATCAGCGGCATTAAAAATGTATTTCCTATTTTTGTTGTGGGATTATCAATTCACGAGCTCCTTAAAGGGGGAAGGGATGTCTGATAGTAAGTATTTTTAGCTTGTAATCAAATAATTTATTCTCTAACTTAACCAAGAATAGAGTTTAAGCCTCTCACTTGGAGTTGTTCTGCTAGATGTGAGATTATTCTTGCAGTGTTTTTCTGAACAGAAGCATTGGGAAGTGAGTCGACTTCAGAGCTGGTGAAATCATCTTCTCCCTGTTTGATCTTCCCATGCTTGTACTCCACAGGGTGCATGCACTGCTCTGGGAGTCCTTTTCTGGCATATCTTCTGTCCTTCAGGCTGCTCCGTGGAGCTCCACTCTGTTCCCAGGACATCTGTTTCCATAAAGCTGTTACAGTTCTGAAGGCAATAAGTGTGTGTGCTGGTAATCGTGTGCCTCCAGATTTAGCAGGAGCTGATGAGAACCATCTCATGGCCTTCTAGCCGTGCCCAGGTGTCTGGTGTCCTTGGGCTGTGAGAGGCAGAAGGATGGGTGAAGTTCTGTGGTCACCTAGGGGTCCCTGCTGCTCTGTGCAGTTCAAGGGAGAAGGTGTGGATTGCCTGGACATCACATGTCCCACATGGGTAACACTGCATAGCTCTGAGCAGCAGCAAGGCCTGAGGAGCTGAAGGGTTTGCATATTGGGTATTAATGAATGTAATAGTGATACTGATCGTGGTGTGAGGGGTGTAGGTAAAGCTGTTGGAACATGCATCAGGACCTCCTGGAATAGGAGAGCATGGATTGGCCAAATCCCTGCTGAGAAGATTCCATGGATACCCCTGACTCTGCATTTATGAAGCTAAATCCTTGGGTTGCTGTTTCTATTTTGGTCAGAAGAAAGGAATTTTGCTATGATCATGTGACTGATTTCACAAACACTTTCTTAGATGGTAGAAGTGGTTGAAGACTCTGGTTTTCATTGCCAGAGTTGTGCCAGGACACTTGTTTCTCGGGGCAGTGGTAGAAGGTAGATGTTGCCTAGAAATTCTTCCCTGTGAGGTGCTGAGGCACTGGCACAGGTTGCCCAGAGAAGCTGTGGCTGCTCCATCCCTGGAAGTGTTCAAGGCTGAGTTGGATGGTGCTTGGACCAGCCTGGTCTAGTGGAATGTGTCCCTGCCCATGGCAGGGGATGGAATGAGGTGAGCTTTAAGGTCCTTCCAACCCAAATTGTTTTGGGATTCTCCATGTAACTGTGTTGCTGTGGAAGGAATTGCTGTAACACCTGTAGTCAGCATCTCTTAGTGCCCCTGTTCGTGGTTCAAAACCACTACATCCAGGTGGTAGAAGGTGTTGGTGCATGTAATTAAACACCCTGTTACACAGCAGCAGTGCCCTGCAGTGAGAAACTGAAGCACCGATCTGTTCCATGTAAAGCCATGGCTTGATTTATGCCTTTTGAAGAGCTTAGGAAGTAGCAGGGCAGGTCCCCACTGGGTTATGCCTGAAAGCTTTTAATCTGTGTCTGTTCAGATGCTTGGTACCAGGTTGTCACAAAAAAAAAGAGGATTCTTGAGAAGGGTAGATGAAGTTATCGTGGAAAGGGTATCCTTGGCTGAAGGCAAAAGGTAAAAGCAATTTATCCACAACACCTGGGTTTATCCTGAAAGGTGGAGACCTGTGAGCTATGGAAGATAAGCCAGGTGGATTTATGATCTGTGTTCTTAGAAGCTCTGCTCTTAAGTGACACCAGACATGGGTTATTAACCAACACATGCACATCCAGTGTGGCCATGACTTGAGAGACTGAACAGGCTTTGAAGTGCTCAGTTTTGGTGCTTTTAACCCCAAAACTGTTTCGGACCTGGTAGGGAATGAGTGTGCCACCTTGCTCAGAAGAAAGGGCTGATCCAACAGAGTTGGTGGAAAAAAGAAATGGCAGGAAAGAGATTCATTTTTCAATATGATCTTCTCAGTTATGCAGAAGCTGAAGGAGGAAAAAAGAAATGGCAGGAAAGAGATTAATTTTTCAATATGATCTTCTCAGTTACGCAGAAGCTGAAGGGCAAGCACACTGTGATGGGGCAGGAATGATTGGATTGGAAAGGGAGAAGAGCCTAAGCTGGCTCTGCTCCGTGAGAAAACTTAGCCTGTGTTGATACTTAAGGCTTCTCACTTTAATTGGAATTTCTTACCGTGACTTTGTGGACTGCTCTAACATTTTCAGGTTTCGTGGAGCTGTTTAAAAGGGGATTGTTGGGTTTTCTCTTTGTTCCATTAGTGGCTTGGGAAACACTTGGTGTTAGTTCCTGCATGGCCTGGGGTAGATCTCGCATTAATAGGGCGGATCACTGACTTTCCTAGGTGTGGCCAAAATGAGAATGGCATGGCTGGGTCACAGTTGTGCTGCAGGAAGGAAGGAACATAGGGATGTAGTCTGGACAGCCAGGAAAGGAGGAGATTTGGAACAAGTGGGTGGAAGAGAGGGGGACTGTGGTTGAGAAGGAAGGACCTTTAGCAAAGTGCCTGAGGGCTTCACCTCAATGTTCTGTTTTAGGCTTGTGGCAGTACATGATTACAGTTGCTCCAAGTACAGGAGGGAAATCCTACCTGGCTTATTTTGGTTTGGAATATGTATCAGGTGAAGGCAGTTCCTCTCAGCCGAATACTGCAGTGGGATCTGTGTGGCTTACAGTGAGGGCAGAGGCTCAGGGAATTGTGAATGATCTCCCTCAGAAGGAACTGGATTTACTGGGTGCATGTTCAGAGTGGATTGCCTTAACAGCTGACAGTGACTTTGCCTTTTTTTGGAGGCTAATGAGGCTAATTCTGCCATTTTTGCTTGTGAAAGAGCTGCTCGATGGGATCTGTGTGCTGCTTTTCCATCCATGAACTGCAAGGAGGAAGCAGTATGGGAATTAGAGTAGATGGTAGGTTGGATTTTGTTCAAACCAGAAGCTGTGCTCCACATGGGCATTCTGCTTGTCCACATGTTCCAAAGGTGGTAGCAGATGTTTTGTGTAATTTCAGGTCTGTTTGGTCTGAGCCAGCAATGTTGTATTCCAGAGTGAGATTTTTTTTGGGGGGGGGGGGGGGGAGGATA